CAGACCCGAAACGTCAGCTTTCCTGCTCCTCTGATGCTGCTTGGCCTGCTGTGTTCATCCAGCTCTGCACCTTTGTTATGTCAGATTCTCCAGCATCAGCAGTTCCTACTGTCTCTGAATGAATTGTTGCTAGGCATTTGGCATTGTACTAATCTACATGATAAACTGTTGGCAATGAGCCCTAAATTTTAGCTGTTAAAATGTATTAGGAAGATTTTTTTTCAGTGTTGATGGCTTCAGTAATAGATACAGAAATAAAAACTGAAAATCAGAAACGACAATGGGACGTCCATCCTCTACTTCCTATTTCACAAATTCATACTTTCCTTTAGGACACTGATTATATCCATTAGCTACTTGAACACGCATGCACTTCTTTCATTACCTACATGTGCACAACATATGAAGGTAGATCAGTCATTGTAGCAACATCCCTATTGGGAGAATTAAGTGAAGTTTATTTAAATCTTGTTAGTATCTGCCACAATATAACAAAATGCCTTGCATTGTCAAAGAACTGATTTGAACTGAACAGGTTTGAAATAGGCCAGCTCTGTGCAGGTAGTTCATATTCATTTGATTCAAATTGTTTCAGTTCACAGGTGGCTTTAAATAGTTGTTCATTGGGACAGGTAAGTATGTGATGCCAATATCATCAGCTTCGTAACATGTCTTTTTTTGCTGTCAAATCAAGGGAGGAAGGAACTGCATTAAAATAGCACTTGCTGATTTCCTGGATTTTGTTTTTCTGTAAAGTTAGTTATCGTAGAGTGGTTGTTTTAAATGGCTAGTTCAGAACAGTCAGTTCTGAAGAAGAGTCAATGGACCAGAGATGTTAACTCTGCTTTCTCTGCACAGATGCTACCAGATCTGCTGAATTTTTGTTTCTGTTTTCCAGTATTAGCAGTTCTTTTTGTTTTATTTCTACTTTTATCACCCCAGAGTCTTCTGTAGCCCATAGTTCTGCAATATTTCGTTCAATTTTTTCAACATTATACTCCACCTGCCAAAACTTTGCCCATTCACTTAACCTACTGATATTCCTTTGTAGTTTCTGTATATTCTCTTCACAACTTACCTTCCTATCAATCTTTATGTTGTCATCAAATTTAGCACTATCTATTCAGTTCCTTCTTTGAAGTTATTGATATAGCTTGCAAATAGTTGAGGCTCCAGCACTAATCCCTGTTGCAGTGCACTCATTGCTTCTTGCCAGCCTGAAATGATCCATTTATATCTACTCACTGATTCCTGTTAGATAATCAATCCTTTTATCTATGTTAAAATGTCATATTTCCCTATACCATGAGCTCTTGTATCATGTTACTTTTGGTGCAGCAACTTTTTGAACTAGTGTCAGTGAAACATGGTAATATAGTTACAAGTCCAGCTGGTATGATGTGGTTTGGAGGGGAACTTGCAGGTGCTGGTGTTCCCATGCATCAGCTGCATTCCTCCTCCTTAGTAATGGAGGTCATGGTTATGGAAGGTACTATTGAAGGAACCTTGGTGAGTTGTGGAAGTACGTGTTGTGCATGGTACACACTGCTGCCACTGTGCATTTGTGTTGAAAGGATGTTGAAACTGGTGGATTTTGTGCTAGTCGTGCAGGCTGCTCTATTCATGATAGTGTTGAGCTTCTAATGTTGTTGGAGTTGCACCCATTCTGGCAACTGGGTATTCTGGCTCGTGCTCCTGATTTGTGCCTTACAGAGACAGGTAAGTTACTTGCTACAGAATTCCCAGCCTCTAACCTGCTGCTGTAGCCACAGTTTTTATATGGCTAGTTAAGTTTTTAGTTTCTGGCCTATAATATCTCCTAGGATGTTCACAATGGGGATTCAGTGAGAGCGATACCATTGAATGTCCAGGGAAGGTGGCCTTACTTTTATTATTCCATGTGGTGGATCCAGCAGTCACAGTTGATGTTAAAAAAATGCACTTAGTAATATAAAGCAATTATATTTTGTGTAAGTGGCTGGCTTTGTGGACAGCTGAGGACAATTTTAAATAGCTAACTGGAGTAAGTGATGATTTTGATTCAGTCCCAAACTTTCATAGAATCTCTCCAGTGTGGAAACAGGCCCTTCGGCCCAACAAGTCCACACCGACCCGTGGAGCATCCCACCCAGACCCATCCCCCTATAACCCACCTCATCTACACATCCCTGAACACTATGGGCAATTTAATATGGCCAATCCACCTAGCCTGCACACCTTTGGACTATGGGAGGAAACCGGAGTACCCAGAGGAAACCCACGCAGACACGAGGAGAATGTGCAAATTCCACACAGACCGTCACCCAGGGGTGGAATCGAACCCGGGTTCCTGGCGCTGAGAGACAGCAGTGCTGACCACTGAGCCACCTGTTTCTACTGTCTACTTCTGGTATTTTGAAAGCTAAATGAAGTTGAATTGCTTTGGGAATGAAGCAGTAACAATAAAAATTAGACCTGTTGTTTGGCACTGGTTCTTAGGTATTTCCAATGGGTTTTTCAACACATTTCTGTCTGCTAAGTATCGTTCCTTAATTCCTGGTCTAGTGATCTGTGAAAGAGAAAGCAGGTGTGTATAGCTTAGTTTCATTAAATGGTTTTAAAAAGGTACCAAAAAATATGAAAAACAAAATTTGAGTGTTTTCTATGTCTAGTGGCTGAAAGTAGATCAGTTTCTTTCTGATCGTACATCTGCGCTGTTACAGAACAATGCGAGGGTTTAGTATTCTGGACTCGATACCTTTCTCATTTAAATGCTATCCCTTGGCGAAGTGATTCATAAACGCAGCATCAGGTTGTGTACGTGCTTTTGGCATGAAGCTCTAGCTCACTACCACCTCTCTTACCCTCTACCTTGATTTTTGTTTTCAAATTGCTGATCCTGCTTCCAGTATTGGATTTACAGAGGTTTTCCACTGCTAAATAGCGGCATACAATTGTCTTTGGTCTCTGCCGGAGACTTTATGCCCTGACCACAAGTGAAGACAGCTAAGTGTTTCTGCAACAAACGGATCCAATCTAAGCTCTGTCATATTCAGCTGGTGGACAATTAAGCAACTCGCTGGAAGAGGAGACTCCACAAACATCCCCATCCTCCGTAATGGGGGATCTGTACACACCGTTGTTGCAAATGCTTCATCCTTATCTTTTGCTATCTTCAACCAGAAGTGTTGAATACATATCCACCTCTGCTTCCTCTGGAGGTCCCCAACATCACCAACACCAGTATTCAGCCAATTTGGTTCAATCTATGAGATATCAACAGACATCTTGGAGGCACTGGATACTTTAAAGACTATGGGCCCCGACAACATTCTGGTTATAGTGCTAAAGACTTGTGCTTTAGATTTTGCTGCACCTCTACCCGAGCTGTCCCTCTATAGCTATAACACCGGCATCCACTCGACAACATTGAAGCTTGCCCGGGTATGTCCTGTATGCGTTAAGCAGGACAAACCCAATCCAGACAATTACTGCCTCATCAGTTTACTTTCCATCATTAGTAGTTGTGGAACGTGTGATCAACAGTGCTATCAAGCAGCACTTGCTTACCAGTAACCTGCTTACTAATGTTCAGTTTGGATTCTGCTAGAACCACTCATCTCTTGTCCCCATTACAGCCTTGGTTCAAACATAAATAAAAGAATGGTATTCTAGAAGCAAAATGAGAGGGATGTCACTTGACAGCAAGACTGCAGTTGACTGAGTGTGACATCAAGGAGCCCTATCAAAACTAGAGTCAATGGGAATCTGGGAGAGAAAACTCCACTAGTCGGAATCATACCTGGCAGAAAGGGAGGATGGTTGTGGTTATAGGAGATCAGTCATCCCATCTCCCTGACATCCCTGCAGGAGTTCCTTGGGACAGTGTCCTCGGCCCAAATCTTCAGTTACTTCATCAATGACCTTCCCTCTGCAGAAGTGAGAATGTTGCCGTGATTGCGCGATGCTCAACAACATTCATGACAACTGATACTAAAGGAGTCTAAGTCTAACAAGAAAATCTAATCATCACCCCATGCTATTACCATCACTGACTCTTCCCCCAAAATTAACATCCTGGGGTTTACCGTAGATCAAAACTGAAGTGGACTAGTCCTATAAATACTGTGGCTACAAGAGCAGATCAGATGCTAGGAATCCTGCAGTGAGTAGTTTGCCACCTGATTCCACAAAACCTGTTCACCATCTCTAAAGCACATATCAGAAGTATGATGGAATGCTTTCCACTTGCCTGGATGAGTGCAGCTTCAGCAATGCAAGCTTGATACATCCAAGACAAGGTAGTCCACTTGATTGGTACCACATCCACAAGTGATTGGCATAACCTTCACTCTTCCAATTTACAATGCCCAGTAGCAACAGTGTAAACCAACAACTAGATGCTGCGCAGAAGTTCACCAGGGTTCTTTAGCACCTTCCAAAGTCACAACCACAACCACTTAGAAGGACTAGGACAGCAAATACATGAGAATGCCACCACCTAAAGGTCCCTCTTCAAATCACTCATCGCCCTGACTTGGAAATATATCACCTTTCATTCAACCTTGATAGGCAAAAGTCCTGGAACTTCTTTCCGAAAGCTGTTATGGGTCTCC